CAAAGGGTAATTGACCAAGGAGCCTTCCCCTTCTTTCTTTTTCTCTCTCTCACCTTCTCTAAAGGGGAAGAGGTGCAAGTAGCTCCTATATAAACTCCGAGATTTATAATTTTGGGTTTCTTCATGTGCCAGAAACCCCCTATCCTGTACATGTAGGTGACACCCGCCTTCATCATATAACCTCATGGTGGAAAATGGAGCATGGGAAACCAACACAAGATATTCTGCAGATAAATAATCGGTCAGCTTCTGATCCAGAAATCTTGTGTTTACTGTCAGGATAATATAAAGATAGATATAAAAACTTATTACTCTAGTTGTAGATAAGCATTACTTTAGACTGGCCCTAAAAAAGCCTAAAAATAAGTCTCAACAGGATCAACCTGATTCTCCAGTAGGTTAACTACCTTACTAAACAAAACTCAACAATCTTTAAATTCAGACAACAAAACCCAGATTCTCAACAATATAACATCCACAATGCCCAGAATGCAATAAAAAATTTCCAGACAAGTGAGGAAGAAAATGGAATATACATGAAAGAGAAAAAAGTCACTAGAAACAGTCCCAGAGATGACACAGATATTGGAATTAGTAGACAAGGATGGTAAAACAGCCAAATATCTATATCTATCTCTATATCTATGTCTATATCTATATCTATATCTAGATTTGAAAATCAGGTAGATATTTTTGCTCAAATAGAAGGCTCTCTTATCTTTGCATCAGATGATTTAGAAACTACCTCAAGCAAAGTCTCAGTTTTTCTCCAAGAAGCAATTTTGAATCTAACTCAAATGTTCAAAAAGTATTCCACTGAAATCTTAAATCACTGAAGAGAGCCTTTAGGCTGAAAGATCTTGTGAAAGGTGTTACTAATAATCCAACTCTACCATAAAATAATCTTAATTTGGCTTCCTTGTGTTATTTACTTTTTAGCAGTTTATATCCCAAGGGACAGCCATGATGAATTAGCTGCAAACTGAATTGTCAGACAATGAAATAAGAGAACATATTGAATAGGGCGGTTAAGAATTATCTATGAATATTGAAAAACATCAGCTTTAAACTTTGGCTTTATTTATTCATTAATTAAAACAATAATAATTACATGCCCACTATGTGTGAAATGTGACAGATACTATGATAAGTTAAACATGGCCTAACTGGATATATACAAAAACAGATATTATAGTACTCTAGGAGGTACTGTAGAGGGAGTAGAAAAAGGAAATAATTCTCCTTGTTTGCGGTTTGGATTGAATCATAAAAGACAAACAAAAGTTGTCCAGTAGACCAAACTTGAAAGTTCTGCAGGTAGAAGTACACATTTAAGGTTTTGACATCATTGATTCTGAGCTTGTTTTTTCCTGAAATTAAGTAACCAATTTGTTCAATCCTTTCGATATCTGCTCATTTACCTTTGTTTTAAATGTTGATGTTCACTGTATTTGGGATTTTTATTGTAACTTACTTCAAACCCCTTTTGGAAGTATTTTCTACAAAATACAATACAAGTAGAAGGAATAGCACTAGAGGAAGCTACTTATATACCTTAAGGTTATTTCTAAATGCATTTTGGAATTAATCTATTTACACCTTAAGTTTGTTTCTGAATATACTTTGGAATTTCCTCATATTTGTAAAACAAAACAAAAAGGAACTCATAAAACACATTGGTCTCAATTTATCATACTTGTTTGTTTCTGAACATAGAAACAATCACCCAATATAACATTTAATCATGAATAATTTTAAGATTCAAAATTCCCCTTAGTAATATGCACCAAAAATTTTCCTGCAACTTCTAGAACCTTCACATTAGCAAAACTCAAAAGGGCCTTTGAAACAGCAATGCTTTTAAAAATGTTAATTCATGGCCATGAATAGCTAGCTATTCAGCCTCTCAACTGTGTATGTGTGAACCCAGACTGAGACTAGGTGTGCAAACAGCCTGCTCACAGGGCCTTAGCTTAATTTTAGTTCAAGAATCCTTCCTTTTAGAAAAACTCGCACACATACACAAATAAATTACCTTTATACTAATGAAAATGAAACCTTATGATTACAATAAAAGTATCTGGAAAACTTCCTGTGAAGTTCCTTCATAATGTTATAAATAAAGTCCATGACAGTATTTGTATGTATTTTTGTACTTATAGAATTGATGCTTCAAATGACCACAGATGCTGACAGAAAGAAAGAAGATAATAAAAAAAGGCGTATAATAATAATAAAAGTAACTTCTATCCAATAGATTTTTTCTGCCTTTCTCTCCTTCAAACGTAATGCCAAAGGAGTAAAACAAACACGACAGAGGGTCCCTGGCTTCCCCATTGCCTTGTACCTTTGCCCCCTTTTCTCTCTTTTTTACTGTCTTCTCCTGCCTTATGAACTTTGATTCTTCAATAAACCACAAGGTTTGCAAAAATAGTCCTCAGAAAATACCGTTCTGATGGTTATTGAGCCCTCAAGCAAGAGGCATAAAAAAAGGAACAACCCCCCACTGTTCTAATATCTTCAGGAAAACATACAAAAAGAGTTCTGTCCACAAAACTCAACATTAAATATAAGTACCTATTCATCTCACAGTGGAATTCTATGAATTCAATAGAGTGCCATCACATTTTGGAACTTTCTGAATTTCTACCAGGTACCTCATAGTTTATACAAATGGACCTCTAAGAATCCAACTTGGTCAAAACCTAGGAAGCCCTAGCGCATAAGTGTCAACATATTTTTGCCTCCCCTAAATGGATATACAGTTGGATATTTTCATTTGCTGAATACTATCTGAGAGTTTTCCAGGAGGAGTCCTAAAAGGTACTGACTTCCAGATTTACACTGCTGTTTCTACTCTTCTTGACGTCTGTTACCCCTGGGTCACTAAATTGTAAAACCAGGCAACTCTATTATGTCAGGACTATAGCAGGGCACTCAGGCCCTGAAAACATACTATAGTTATCACTACAGGTATCTGATAGCCCAGCTACCTGAGATATTTGTGTCTTGAGTCAAGTTCACAGAAATGTTTTCAGAGTTTGCTCTCTCCAATTTTTCCTCCTCAGACCTAATATATTCTCTACACCATCTCCTGGACCACATGCATCAACAGAAACAGAGCAGAAAATGTATTTAGCCTCAAAAGCAGATCAGCTGGAAGCACTAGAGGAAGGTAAAGGGCTAATCCTATGCAGAAACATAGAGAAAGCAATTAATAAGAAAATGAAAGTCCTGAAGTTGTTGACTCATTCATATCTCAATTTCCTAAGAAATCATGCTTTTTAAAGAAAGTTATAAATATTAATCCCATTAATCATATCTTTATTTTGTTGGGTGGGTGAAACGTCCTTCCAGGTTGGGAACAAAATTCCCTAAAGACAAGCAATTAAAACCAACTCCTTACAGAGCCTGGAGTTCAGAAGTCCAGGTATCCTGGGGACCTGCGAACATCATAACCCCTATACACGCAAATTTATGTCTGGGTGTATACTACTCCTGGAGGGCTTTTATTGATGCTTCTATGGAATGAGCAAGTTTAAAATAAAACCACATTGCTTAAACCTCACTAACTGATTATTTTATTTTCAAGTAATACGCTCTGAAAATCTTCTATGTCTAACTTACTTACTACCCCTTAAACTTACTTACTCCCCGTAAACAAGACAAGAAGTGAAAGCAATGAGGTCCACCACAGGGTGAGGGAATCTAAGGGTCTGCAGCATCCTAAACGGCTAATATTGTGAGACATGAGAAAAAACATATTGTGAGAAAGAGAAACTTTCTCCTCAAAACAGTTGCTAATGGTCTTTAGGAAGGAAGAAATTCCCTAAAGAATATTAAGTATCCTTTCCACTGTCATTGAAAAGAAATCCCACCTCCCCAACAAGATAGAAAGGCAGCTGGAACAGCATTCAACATAAACTGAAGAGAATATGAAAAGTCTTTCAGAAAAGGTTAATATTTTCTTCACAAAAGAGAAAAAAGAGACAGATTAAGGGTATTTTCTTTGAAATAATGCCCATATGCAAAGCCTACTGTCTGGATTTAATCTCTAACTTTTAGAGATATAGTACAAGGACATGAGGTTAACACTTAAATCTGATGGAGGAGGAAAAAGATGCAAACAGAAAATGCACAAAAAACAAAGTGGTTTTCAATAAACATAAGCATAGGCCTGGAGTTCAGGAAGAGATGTACTCTAAACTCTTTTATACTTAATTCTTACCCTCTTATAAAAGCAGGTTCAGAGAACAGCCTTGAAGTGAAACTAAAGAACTGAAGGGTAGTTATAAAGCCGAGTTCAAATTAAGTGGCTGGGGGAAGAAGGACAAGGAAAGAATTAAGGAAGGAGTGGAGGTCCTTTTGCATTGAAAAGTCTGACTGCTTGTCTCAGCTCCAGTTCTGAAATCTTCCAGACCGACACTGAATGAGACAGCATCACAATATAAAGGATGATACACTTCAAATCTTTGGAAAACAAAATTCATATACTCATATATTCTAATATACAGTCTCTTAGCAGCATTAATTCTAAGTAGGGATCCCAGGGTAGAAGTTATGGCCTAATTAGCAAGCCGTTCAGTGACAAATATAGCCTGCCATATCAAAATTGCTTAGTAGCTCTACAAATTGTAGACGATAATTTATGAAAGAAAGTCTAATTTAACTGATTAGTGCAGTAAGTTTCAAACAAAGGACAGCAAAATATATGTTGAAATTTCCATGTACACATGCTTTACTAAAGAGCAACTCTGAAGTATAATTAAACAAAAAGCACACGACATACTAATTTCATCATTTTTGCATTAGACGCACTAATATACACCAGAGCTTTGTTTTTCCACAGAGAACTTTGTCATAGACAGCCCTATCATTTTCCAATTTAAAATCTTAACATGTCAATAAAATTCTGCAAGGTACTTACAATCTTAATTTAAAGCACCAGAAACCAAACAATCAAGTTATTAGTAAATGACAAGTTGGGAGTTTCCACTTACGTAGATATATTGTTGAAGCTGAGAAACAGACGTTGGAGGCTGGGCAAATTATCCACATCTCTCTAGAAGGAAACAGAAAGCAAAAATTTATGAGCTGAAAGAAAAAAAATATTACACATGTCTTCTTGCTCAGCTGTTCAAATACATAGTCATTCTATTTACTGCAACCTTGCTAGCCTATTGATTTCTGCCGGACATTGAGCTCCATTCTTCTCCACTGCAGACTGAATGGGAGGGTTTCAGTGCATCCGCAGAAGGAGCTGCACCACTCGCAAGGTGAAAAGCTCTGAAGAGAGCAGGGAGAGATGCTGCTGCTAGCCTCTTTAAGCATGCTTTTGGGAAAGAAGCCAAAATGCTACTTCAGCATTTCAACTGTAGCACAAATACAGTATGATCAAACATTTGTTAAAAATCACTTTAAAAAGGAAGCCATTCAAATGCTTTAAATTGTAAGTTTATACAAGTAGCTTTCCAAACAGTTTTGAGAATTTCAAAGCTATTCACCTCACTATTCTCAAACCTTTGGAAATATACTACTCAGTTATAAATGAACCAAGACACCGAGAATTCTCCCATAAAACTAAAAGCAGCTCACAGCATCACTGAAGGGCACTGTAAGGGCAATTTCCAATCTAAGCAAGAATCAGAGGTTCTTACGACTGGAAATCTACCCTCTTCTGTTTAGGTACAGCACCCCAAAGCAAACCACTGCTGTTTACATATAGTTACCCTTAGCAAATATTGAAAGGTTGTGGCCCAAATGATTTAAAAAATCACAAAATAAAGACATACAAAGCTACCTAATTTCATTAAGTGAAAAGACACAAATCTGAAAAGTATGACATATACTGAAGTCATAGACTCTTAAGAGGAAGCTAAGTAATTACCTAGTCTACAACCTCAGTATTCTCAGGAGAAAAAGTCGACACTTGAGGCTGTTGCAAGGGAAGGGTGGGACTGCAGGGAGGGTGACCCAGGGCCACCTACTGTCCTAGGGGCAGAGACAGGACAAGATTGCAGTTATCCTGACTTACAGCGCTCTGCTTTTTAAAATATTGCACACTGGCGCTTCTCATATAAAATGTTTTTCATTTTTAAGGGCAATATCATTCACAATAATTTCCAGTTATATGAGTTTGAATAATGCTAATATAAGTACACACATTTCACATATTATTGTGACCAATATTTAAACCCAAATCAAAATTTGTTTTACTGTTTCCTTAAGTCATTATTTTCCTCCTTCCTTTTCTTCATCCCTTTTAAAAATACCATTTCCAAGACCCCAGTAAGAATTTAGGCAAGTGCATTAAAATTACAGACAAGCCCAGCTATTCCAAAAATGGTTTATTTATTTATTTTTAAAAGATCGTTATATAAAGAAAATATGAAAGTGATAAAATTGTGGCAGAGTCACTTTTCATTGGTTTTTGAGAGGGCGCAGGAGAAATGAATCTGGCTTAAGACATTCTCCTATGTGGCTTCTCTTATGTACTGTTCTCTAGGCTTCTCTCAACCCCTTAGATCCTAAATAGTGTAAAATGAATACAATTACCAGCGATCAAAACACTGGCTATGTGTACCATTCATTTGGCATTACCATTCTCAGGCTCACCCCTGAAAAGCCGGTTCCACAGATGCGGGTTAGTGACGTTTAGAGCTTCTCAACCATGGTCAAGGAGTAAGTCTGCAGAAAACAGGAAGGCAGACAAACTCCCCTCAGTGGGTGATAGGCTCTATATGTTGGCAAACTTCTTGAATCATCTCTACCAGCTACCTCTCTCTGATATTCCCAGAAATGAGAGGGGAGTAGGGTGGAGGAGGAGTGATGGATGAGTGGTAGGGCTCATTTTATTCCAGGGCCCTATTTTCCAAAGGACATGATAGCTTGCTTCCTATCTGGTCTCTAGAAATAAGAAGTCACAGCCAAATTGAAACCCCTCTCTGTACTCTTGGGGACTCTCGTCTCCCACATTATTCTTGGAATCTATCTGAGACATTTCTGGGCACAAGCACTGTTTGCTGACATCTAACTGGGAGAAGGTGAGAAGCAGTAGCCTGGATCTCCTTTGAATAAAGGCATCTTAAGGAAAAAAAAAAGTCTCTTTGAACTCTAGCCTGCCCCCTTCAGAAACTACAGACACCCTTCAAGATATTATTTTTTGTTATTAAAACATAAACTCAAATTACATCAGGCTATAATTTGTGAGAAAAGGATTTTTAAAGTTTATTTGATTAAATTATAATGTCTTGTATTTATCTTCATTTATGAAACAAAATTTTACCAAAAGTCTTTATCAAATTTTCAAAATCATTAACTGTTATTACCCGGTAGAGCTATAAAAAAATATTCACAACAAATTGAAAAAATAAACATCAGAATTCAACTACAAATATCCCTATAACCACTTTAGTAGACAGCCTTTTCAGAATTTTAAAAAGCAAAATAATTACCCACTATCATTTTTGTTGTTCCAAATTTCATTTTTATAAGAAAATTATAACTTTTTAAAAAATTTTTCTTGCAATTCTGAGTTATACTTTGTAATAGAGTTCTAGTGTTACAATAAACAAAAAGAAAACATATTTATCATACCAATTATCTATGCATGAGTTATTTACAGAAAAAAAAAGACTTGTTGAAAGCTACTAGAAGATGGCTCTTCTAACATGAAAGAGTAAACCAAAGATGGAGATACATAAGATCCAGGAAGTGGATTCACCATCGGAGGGAAGCAAAGAGAAATCCAAGAATAACATCTCCACAGCAGGCCTAAGAGCAACTGGTCTACATGCGAGACAGAGGACAGAGGGCCCTAGAAAGGGTATCTCCAAGGGGAGAAAATGAAACAGATAGATTACCTGACATCTTTGCCCGTACAGAGAGGAATTTAACAGTTCTGTTGGGGAATCTGGACATTAATTAATGGTAAATAGAAACCTCAATTAATGAGAGGAAATGAGACAGTTATTAATGCTAGCAAAGTTTAATACCATGGTCCAATATTCACTTTGAAAAGCTCATCTTGCAGTGCCAGAAAATCCTATTCTACTATATCGTAAATTCATCAATCTGAATCAAGCCTCTGCACTGACAAGACTCACCTTAAACAAGACCCCTAAGAAATCTCAAAAATAAATATCTTGCCCTGGCCCTCAAAGACATTACTCAGACTATGTCAAGGTAGTGTGCTCTTCCTGCCAGTAAGTAACAATCTCAGCTTTTTTTTTTTTTTTCAGTTTTTATTTATTTATTTATATCCCCTCCCTCCCCAGAGCCCCAGTAGATAGTTGTATGTCATAGTTGCAGATCCTTCTAGTTGCTGTATGTGGGACGCGGCCTCAGCATGGTGGGAGAAGCGGTGCGTCGGTGTGTGCCCGGGATCCGAACCGGGGCCACCAGCAGCAGAGCACACACACTTAACCGCTAAGCCATGGGGCCGGCCCAATCTCAGCTTTTCTTTATCAACAGGTTATGCTGGTGATATTTTGGGGGAGCCACCATTTGAAAATCTGCTTATCCAAAAAATATGATGTAATTACTTTGTAACGATGGGGAAAGGAGAAATGGGGGGTTCTAAAGCCTTGTAACTTTGAGAAAAAGTCAGTACATTTATTTCATTGTCAAGTGTCAACCCTCCCAACAATTCTTTTCCTGAGGTAACTATTTCACAGGCAAAGAAACTACTGTAAAGAAGCAATAACGTTAACATACCCAAGATGAGAAAAAGAAGATGAAATAAAATATATACATATAGGGGAATATTTATAGCTCATCTGTTATTAATCTGCTCATAGTCTCAAATTTATTATACTTAACAAAACACAATCCTGAGACTCAGATTTAAAACAGTAAGATTCAAAACGATTTTATATATTTTTAAAATATAATCCTTTAAAAATATAAAAATAAAGTTAGTTACTACATGAGTATTGAGAGGATTATAATACTTTCTTTTTCAAAAGAATAATGACTTGAGAAACATGCTTGTCCTACTCTGCTCAGACACTGTTTTCCATATTCCTAAACTTCACAAAACAACTAAATGATTCAGCAATCTGACCGTGTGTGGAACATCTACTACTGGAGCTATTTATAGAGCAGCCTCCTGCAGAGGAATAAGGCAGAAGAGAGGTGAAGAGACAGAGGCTTTGGCATGCATCAAATAGGACAAAGATGATAATAATTAAATCACAGCTACTCCCATTGTTACCTATTCTGTCATACAAAAAAGTCAGAGTGAAAATACAGAGGGGTAATTATTTTACTCTGGAGAACTGGAAACAGATTTATCAACAAGGCATTGAATAATTTTGGAAAAAAACAAAGAAAAAAGCACTCCTTTTTATAAAAAGGTTTATTAAGTTAATTCCAAAATAACTACTTGCTACAGCCATCACTTTGTGACACAGACACCCATATCATACGAAGAATAACATGTATAAGCTATCATATCAACAATTCTAATTGTACATGTAAATGTCAATGGAAAAAATTCCATTATCTGGCTCTGTTACCCAATGGCATTAATATGCATATCTGCTTTCTATATTTGTTCACTACCCATTACATGGCAATAGATATCAGTCACTCTAGCTGCAAGCTACACTTCCAGTCTGATTTTCATCTACATACTGTTGTAATCCCCCTCAAAGAAAAAAATAAAAAGGAACTAAAACCAGACTAGTAAGCAGGCACTGATACTCTAACTACAGAGATTTCCAGTCTTTATAATCTAGGATAACTAGATTTAACAGCCATGAGGAAAAAGCCTCAATTTCATAATCTCAGGCCCTTCCTCATCTGAATCTGTAGTTCAAATGTACTTTGCATGCACGCTCTAACAAGACTCCTCATAAAAAATGGCCCCTGGCATTCATTCCTCTAACACTCCTGGTAAAATTCTCTGGAAAGACAAAAACTCAACTCAGGCTTCACAGCATTCTAACTATCCCAAACTAGTAACCTCTGAAGAAAAAACTAGCATGAGCAAGAGTCAGCAGAAATTTTAGGCAGCAAATGTAGAACTGCCAAAAAGTTACGAAAATATAATAACTTGAT